TTCATTTGTATTAGGTAGTAAATCTGTGCCAGGAGATGTTTCAAACAATGGTGGGTCAATATTGATCCTGGCAAAAAGTGGTGGGGACATGTCCCACCCGCAAATTACTGCTATGCTAAAATTATATCTTTGTGGGCAAATGTGTCACACTCGTTTTGTGGTGGCTTGGAAATCCAAGGGGAATCAGATATACGTGTTTAGATGTAGGCTGGATGTCCAGGTATAAGATGTGTATCTGATTTTAACCTGTTGAGCTCCCACATATGAGATTTTTATTTCCGTGCCCTTGGGAGTACGGTCCCACATATGGGATTTAGAACGTTCGGTGACGTCACATAACTGCAAAATTCAAACTGTGCCTTCGCTAGCTGGCGCTGAGCCAGAGAGAAACGTGCACTGCACTTATCATATTATCACAACTATGCAGTGTTCTTAACCACATAATGTTTATTTTAGGTTTCAGACATTTAAATACACATAAGTACTAGTAAAACAATACATTTATTAGAATCTCCTACATTTTCAAGTGTCTCTTTTCTGAGTTTATTATCCCAGATAGAACACATACATAATTTTTACATCTCTTTTCGGTGCAGTTGTGGTTAGAGAGTTGGACTTGTAACCCAAAAGTCATGGGTTTGAGTCTCGGTGCCAGCAGGATTGTAGCTGGGGGAGTGAATGTACAGCACTCTCTTCCACCTCAATAACACGACTGAGGTGAGATCCTTGAACACAGAACCCCCAGGTGCTGCAGCAAAAATGGCTGCCCACTGCTCCAGGTGTGTGTTTGTTCTCTACTCACTGATGTGTGTATGCACATGGATGGGTTAAAGGCAGAGCACTTTTTAAAGTCTGGATCATCTGATAAACATCTTTAAGATGTCCATTTTACTTACATTCTAAATCATAAACATCGTATAGACATTTTTTAAACGTTTTTAAAATGTCTTAGAGATGTCATGTAGATGAGCAAACACTCTTGCAGATGTAAATGTAGACGTCTCTGTGATCAGAGATATGGAATATAAAATTACTCCTCTTGCCATACCACTGACACTTTTAACTGTTTTCCCTATCATCAATTTTAATCGTAAAGCCATGTCACATTGATTGCTATCTCTGCAAAATACTAACAGACCTCCATCACTTAACAGTTTTGCATGTTCAGTTATCACCTAACTTAGCCTTCAATGTATCGGTAAGTTTACAGGATTTGGTGATCCTAAAAAAAACAGTTACCTTTTTTGAGGGACAGTTAATAATGTAGACATAATACAAACCCATATTTTATTCATTCTCAGTCATGTTTGAGAGCAGAAGAAGTTCGTCCGTTTTGTTGGGTAGAGAGCGGAGGTTTGCCAGATGGATGCTCGGCAACGGCGTTCTGAATCCGCGCTTCCTGAGCTTCACGCGCGCGCCGGCTCGCTTCCCCCGTCTGCACGTCCTGAAGCGCTTGATCAGCGCAGCAGCTCCACCAAGTACAACGTTCAGCAAAACGTCCGAATAAACGAAATCCGGTAGAAGATTGTGTGGTGTGTTCTGCCGAATGTTCAGCAGCTCATCCCTGGTAAAACTGGTCGTGTTTGAGAAACAAAAAACATAACATATATAGAAGGTGCACAGTGTCATTCACACAAACACCAAACACCATCATGGTGACACACATGAAACTGAAATAATGCAATAAACATTCATTTAACAACATTAGGTGTGACACACAACCCCAATATACAAAACTGATAAGAAAAAACTAAGAAGAATCATAGTTATTTCAACAAAAAACATCAAATTTGAAATGTAACGCAGGGAATTCTGGGAATGTCAATTTACGGTTATTCACTGTAAATTATATGGTATTTTTCACTTCCAAAAACGGTATACTACCGTAAAATTTATGTCCAATACATGTAATGTCCAATACAGTTTTTCACCGTATATAGTAGGGGAATTTACCGTTAACCATTTAACAGGTTTTTACTGTAGCATTTTTACAGTCTTTTACCATTAAATCCACGGTCATTTTTTACAGTGTGGGGTGAAAGATTCTGCATGTGTCTGGTCTACTGCTTCTGTAAAAATCACTTAATTTAGTTTTCCCAATTTATAATCTGACTCCATTTGTAATTTAATTCTAAATCCAATTTCAATGAATACTTAATTTATAGTGGATCATAAGATTAGTGGTACATTAACAATTTGGATATTTGAGCTTTCTGGGAAACCCTTACTTTCAATCACTAATTCGCCAGGGACACAATGCCACAGAAGGGCAATGAATATGGTAACATTTAACATTGACATGGAGAAAAAAAAAAAAAAAAAAAAAAAAAAAACTAAATGTCTTACAAAGTTATTAAACCAAGATTTACACATACTAAATCTCTCGCATTAGTGTTATGCCCGGTTAAGACATGATTTTAGCCCGATTTTGCAACGATTTGCTTAACATAGGGCATCGTGGGGATTCGTAAACTACAATGGGCGTCGGGACACAAGTTTCCATCATTTCAGCTCATGTGGGGTGTCAGTGGATGACAAAAATAGTGTAGTCTGAACCCGGCATTAACCCATGTTCTTGGTTTCATTTCTGGTAGCTTTATACTTCAGTTCAAGGATTTCCCCACTACTTTTGCTGCCAAGCTCCTGGAGAAATCCAAAAAAATAAAAAATAAATAAAAAAATTAAAAAAATCCACACAACAGATGTCTTGCTAAACTATGAGATTTATTTGGTGAACGTAGGAGACCTCAAATAAAATTCCCAATGGTTACACTGGCATGGTTAGCTGCATGCATGCACAGGTGGTTGGGCAACACTTCGGTCTGGCAGGACATTGATCATCATGGGAAGTGTTATCAGCACACATTTGGTCCGAGACATGGATCAGGCCTCACTGCATGGAAACAGATAGTCAGAATTAGTCGGTCCATTTAGCGGCAAACAGCACAAAGCACTCAAAGCATGAGCCACAAGTTTTTCTACAGCAAGTTGTATTCAAAGTTTTATTAATATTTATTTTGAAAAGCAATGCACTTGAAATGGTGCTATGGGCCAAATTCAGGTACTTTACCATTTTAAAAAATAAATAAGAAACCATAAAGAAAAAAAAAAAACATGCGTGCGTGTTGGGGACCAAAGCATATATAACAAATACCTTTAAATGGAGGTGTACATTCACGTCCACATTTAGTGCTGCAGCACTTCTCATCGTTTGGACAGTCAATGTCATTGACACACAACTTTTTACACAAACCTACTCCAAGGAATCTCCTTGGACACACGCCTGGCTTTTCTGTTACACAAACACATGAGAAACCAGATCACTGAATGCCTCACTGCACGCGCGCATATATATATATATATATATATAAATTAAAAAAATATATAAAAAACATGCAAGAATGCAAGCTGACCCACACACTAATATAACAAATACCTCTATATGGAGCCATACACTGATGTCCACATCCATTGCTGCAGCACTTCTGATCGTTCGGACAGTTACTGTCATGGGAACACATCTCCACACACAGTCCTTCTTCTCCAAGGTTTTTGCTTGGACACACTCCTGGCTTTTCTGTTACACAAACACATGATAGAGAAAGCAGATCACTGAATGCCTCACTGCATATGAAAAAGGTTAAAACTAATTTAATTCACACTATTATAACAATATAAATACCATTATATGGAGGCATACACTGATGTCCACATCCATTGCTGCAGCATTTCTCATCATTTGGACAGTCACTGTCATGGGAACACATCTCAGCACACACTCCTAACATTGCTTCTTCAAAATTGTTTCCAGGACACACTCCTGGCTTTGCTGATATACAAAACACATAACAGAAAAACCATTAAAAAAAACAAACTTACAGACCATAACAATAAATATTCAATTAACATGTGAAACAAAGCTTTTTTTAGATAGCTGAAAAATGTCAGGTGCTCCTCTGACAATGGCCAGCTGGTAGCGCTTGAGAACTTTCTTTAGATACAGCCATACACTGATGTCCACATCCATTGCCGCAGCATTTCTCGTCATTCGGACAGTCACCGTCTTGGGAACACAACTCAACACACGCTCCTAATCCAAGGTTTTTGCTTGGACACACTCCTGGCTTTTCTTTTATACAAACATGATAGAGAAACCAGATCACTGAATGCCTTACTGCATTAAAAAAAAAAAAAAAAACCCAATATAAATACCTTTATATGGAGCCATACACTGATGTCCACATCCTTTGCTGCAGCACTTCTCATCATTTGGACAGTCACGGTCATGGGAACACAACTCTACACACTTCACTAAAAAAGCTACTGCAAGATTGTTATTTGGACAAACTCCTGGCTTTTCTGGTTCTGCTGACATTCAAAACACAATAGAAAAACAATTACTGGATTAAAAAAAAAATAATAAAATCCCACATACACGGAAAGCAAGCTGACCCACACACACCAATAACAAATACCTTTATATGGAGCCATACACTGACGTCCACATCCATTATGGCAGCATTTCTGATTGTTTGGACAGTCATGGTCATGGGAACACGACCCTACACACACTCCTGACACTGCTACTTCAAGATTTTTTCTAGGACACACTCCTGGCTTTGCTGACATACAAAACACATAATAGAAACGACTGAATTATTAAAAAAAATAAAATAAAATAAAATAAAATAAAAAAAAAACCACACACCACAACAACTTTTAGTCCATCTCCTTCAAAATTTCAAGTTTAAATTAATGTGTTGCTTGTGGTTTCTTTGCAATTACATGAAACTAGCAATTTGAGAATTTAGGGTTTTCTCAGCATTTCTTTGCAAAACCTCTAACATTCACTAATTGAAACTCACTGAAAGCAGGGAGTAAACATACAGCCCCACAATCATATCGAAAGCATGCATGTTTTCTAGAGCAATCTTTATTAGAAATATCCTTGACAGGATGGCACAACCATCAGCTTCGCCAGACACCGACCGGCCACTAATGAAGAGGATTCAACAGGATCATTAGGGGAGACCACAGAGTGGTGAAATCACTTTTTCAGCACTTGCAAGACAGAGGTTGTGAGACGCATGTATCAAACTGAAGTATAACAGACAAATTTGTCTGTATCAAACCAAAGTAGTTTAAAAATCCACCATTTATCCCTAAACGGTTTCAAAGGCATGGAGGGACATTACAACATAGAACCTACCTCACTACTGGTGGTGTAGAACATAGTAATGACAACATAAAACAGGGACATAAGGACATTTTAATACAATATATACAAATAAATACTTATAAGATACCATGACCACCACAGTTACACTTCAAGCATTTTAATACTTCATTAAATGCTCTCAAGTCATGATTAGCCCCGATGCTAAATTGCATATAAAGAACAAAACATTTGGAAATAAAAAACAAAAAACAAAAGGAGTTAAGGAGTGATAGCATACATACCTGGTAACAACCTTGCAGCCAAATGAATAGATCCATTTACTGTAAAAACAAAGTACATAATTTTGTAGCTATATAACATTAATAATGTCAATCTTGCTCATCGTGTTTTCCTTGTAATGGAAGAAATAAACTTATTTAAACTACACAAACAAAGTTTAACTTCCACTGGACGTCTGGTTGGCTAATGTATATTTATACGTTCTGATGTGCCTAAAGTACTTTTTTTTTTTTTTTTTAAAGTTCTTATTTACATATTTCTTCGCGCTGTGTCAACATCTCCAGGACACTACGCTCCATATGACTAGTAAGTCAAATCTCAATATGTGCCTAAAGTACTTTTTTTTTTTTTAAATTTTTAAAGTTCTTATTTACATATTTCTTCGCGCTGTGTCAACATCTCCAGGACTCTACGCACCATATGACTAGTAAGTCAAATCTCAAATAACTGCCCTGATGACTTGTGTTCTACCCGCTTAAATGATAGAAGTACTTGTGCCGTCCAATCTATAAAGACTGTGTCCGTTCCCCGAATAGTGATGTCAAAATATAAATTTAATGCAGGATCTAGAAAAAATCTGATCGTGATTAAACCAGAAAAATGTAAAGCAAAACGGCACCGGGCCCACTCATCGTTTTAATCATACACTAGATTTAATTATATCGCATGGAATTGATCTTACAGATATAGACATCGTACTTCAAATTGATGATGTTACTGACCATTTCCTTGTAATCGTGCATGCTGCATATTACTGATATTAACTATATGGCTCCACATTATCGTCCGGGCAGAACTATTGTTCCAGCCACCAAAGATAGATTCACAAATAACCTGCCTCAGGCACGTGCACACATAGACATCAAAGGGGGCTTGAGCACCTGCCCTTTTTCTTCCTCGAGAGAAAGGGCTGCACTGGCTACCTATTAAGTTCCGTATCAGTTACAAAATATTGTTACTTGCCTATAAGGCCCTTAATGGGTTAGCTCCTGCGTACCTAACTAGTCTTCTACCACGCTACAATCCATCACGCTCCCTAAGGTCACAAAACTCTGGACTTTTGGTAGTACCTAGGATAGCAAAGTCCACTAAAGGAGGTAGAGCTTTTTCACAGTTGGCTCCCAAACTCTTGAATAGCCTTCCCAATAACGTTCAGGGTTCAGACACACGCTCTGTTTAAATCTAAAATAAAGACACATCTCTTTGGCCAAGCATTCAAATAATGCATCTCATATTCTTGTACTGCAGTTATATCTGATCAAACGCACATTATCATTATTCTTTAGTTTGGGTTAAACAAATCAATTTTGCTTGGTTGGAACAGCAGCTACGCTAATTATGTCTCTATTTGTTTCTCTGTTTCTGGCCATATGTACATTAACTGACAGTCACCACTGATAAGCTACCACTAAATATTGTAGAAACTTAATTTGCTGTAAAGTTGCTTTGCAATGATTTGTATCGTGAAAAGCTCTGTACAAATAAACTTGACTTGAGTAATGAAGTTAAAAGACCTCACCTGCGGCTGCCCCTTCAGCATCTGTTGTGCTCAAACAAACAGAGAGACACAATAAAGCAGCAATCAACAAACAACACACTCGAGCTCTCGTCCTCTCGACCTCACAATACACTCTGCTGGAAAATGCTCTGATTTAGTAGATCACGAGGCTTTCAAAACGTGTTTTGAAATGCGTTTTTAAGGATCCAAGGAGGCCTGGTGCAACTCCAACTCTGATGAAACTCACCTGCCTGTTGCTGCCTAATCTTGAAGACCCTGATTAGGTTGTTCAGGTGTGTTTGATTAGGGATGGAGACAATTGAGACACGACAACACACAGTCACTTGTCGCCACCCAGCAAGCAATTTTCAGTTTAAAAGACATCTAATAGCCGTCCAAACACAGCCCAGACGTCTAGGCTAAAACAAGGCTAAATTTGGGCTGTCAGTGAATATTTAATAGACGT